TTTTTTTTTTTTTAAAGTCAACTGTAGCAGGCGACTGAGCTCACCCTCGCATCTCCTCGTCAAATTTCATAGCCGGAAACTTCAAATCCATCCTAAAACCAAAACGGAATCCAATTTTTTATTCTGATTCACACCATCTTCCATGATTCCTTGTGATTTCTCAGGGTTTGTGAAAAACCCTATCAGTAATCCTCCGCATTGCTCGTAGATTCCTCTTTAGGTGACCGCACATTCATTTCTTTTATTTGTCTAAAGTGTTAACTTATTAGACCAACTAGACTTTAAATCTACCATATAGATTTTGTGATTGCACCAAACCAGAAGTCCTTCTTCAGTCCATATCTACACTCCAAATTGACCTGCAAAGCCTCGAGGTGGGTCATCGGGGTAGACACTCTGATGCTTAAGTCAGCAATAATCGGGGTTACTTTTAGAACGGAGATAAAAGGAGCTTAAGGTTGGTTTCAATTACCTTTTTGACATGGCCCCTGGGGGGTATTTATAGGCTCCAGTGAGGAACCCACGTGGCATGCCAAGCAAGATAGTCGAAGCCTAACGTGTCTATCCAAACGGTTATTTCGGGACCGAGAATTTGAGGGATATTCAAATGCAAGGATGTCCATCATAACTGCTACGTAGCTCATCATAAAGAATCATGTGTGGGCATGCTTATTGTCACTGTCATGCAGCTATTTGAACGAGAAGTTTTGGATTTATCCTTCACTTTGGTCATAAAGGAATTATTGTCGTACGTCTGAGGTTGGGCACCTCAGACCTGCCCTTACACTATTCCCCCCCGAAGTCATTCACTTGTGAATGATGTTGTTGGAGATGATAGGAGTAGTGCATAAATAGAAAGGAAGGAAGATAAAGATATTAAAGATGAGTTACAGAAGTAAAAATAAAGATAAAAATAAAAATCTGTAACTCATATGTATGTATGACCGTAGTCAATAGTGAAGTATGAGATAGGGGGTTATGATGGTCATGCCCAAAATAAACTATGACAGAAGTGATCAGGGCCGTGGTCGTAGTAAAGGTAATAACCGAAGTCCATGTGGCCGGAGCCATAGTAAGAAATGATAACCAAGGTCAGTGGTCGAAGCCATAATAAAAAGTAATAACCGAAGTCATGGTGGCTGGAGCCATAATAAAAAGTAATGACCGAAATCATAGTGGCCGGAGCCAAAGTAAAGCATGTGACATTGGGTCACTGTGGCGGTAGCCAAAGTGAAACGTGTGACATCGGGTCATTGTGGCCGGAGCCGAAGTGAAACGTGTGACACTAGGTCACTGTGGCCGAAGCCGATGCGAAACGTGTGACACTAGGTCACTGTGGCCGGAGCCGAAGTAAAACGTGTGACACTAGGTCACTATGGCCGTAGCCGAAGAGACAAGCATGACCGGAGACATCAGGTCGGTTGCCGAAGTAAAACACTTTGCAAAATTTAAAATCTATAAAAGTGTGCAAAAGTGCTGAAATGGGCTTAAGTGGGCCCGTCTAAGAAGCCTAACAAAGAGGCAGTACGTGACATGACAGCTGTCCTCTGAATGACGTGCGTAATAAATGCCGCTGTAAAAAGATAACTGTAACAGTCCAACGGGTAGATTTAAAAAACGAACTGTCGAGCTCGAAACGGTGTCGTTTGGGGTTAATTGTCGAATTCGAAATGGTGTCTTTGTAGCTGTTAGATGGAGCTAATCACAGCCGTTGAGGCGTATTTTGCCTTTGGTATAAAAGGCAATACTTCTGCAAAAAGGGGTTTTTACTCTTGCTATTTTGCTACCAAATTCTTGCTAAATTTCTGTGGTTGCGTGCTGTCTGTGCTTCGATTGAGACTTCAACAACAGTTTCTAAGACCGAAATCAGGTAAAGTTTATGAATTTTTTATTTTGATTTTACCAAAGTGCTATTCTCCTTTCTCCCTTTTTGTTTTTGATTTTGGGTTTTTGAAGGAAGTTAGGGTTAGGAGTGAGAATGTATTGAGTGTGTGTTAGAATTTTTTAAGGGTCCTGACTCTGTTCCTCCTCCTACTTTATGCAGAAATTGAGGAGATGTCTTCAGAAGGGACCATGAGTATAATGGGAAGTGAGGTGATGCCCCTAGAGTACGGTGGCATGGATTCGGAGAGTAGTCCGTCTCCATCTAGTTCGGAGAGGACAGTAGAGGAAAGGAGAGAGCAGGAGGGAGTGGAGGAAGAGGAAGAGGAAATTCCCTCAAGTATTATGGAGGTTGGGGGTAATGTGGGTGGGTGTTATGACCCGGAGTTAGACATAGTGTTCAAGGTGAGGGGGTATGTGAGTGAATTGGGTAGTAGGAGTAGCCTTAGGGGTCTGGTAAAGAACTGTAACCTTCCTCACCATATTTTAATTAAGCCTGCCGGGGTGAATGAGAGAGCGTGCTCAGCACCCCAAGATCATTGGATGCCCATGTATGTCCATTACTTGGCTGCAGAACTTAGGTTTCCCATTCCAGAGTTACTAGTTGGGCTATTATTAGAGTATGGTATAAGAATAACCCAACTAACCCCAAATGCTATAGGAGTAATAATAGGCTTTATAGTATACTGTCGAGCTCGGGGGGTTAGGGTCCTTACCGTAAATATGTTTAAGCATTTCTTTATAATAAAGGCTGGGGGTAAGGGTGAGAAGGGGTGGTACTACTTCGCCCCTCGATTGTCCAGCAAAGAGAATAGGAGTTTATTCACTGCTGGACCGTCATCCATTAAGGGATGGAAAGAAAAATTCTTTTTTGTGGATGACACCAAGTGGAGTAGGAGGGATGCCGAAGTAGAACACTTGTTTGCTTGGAAGGCTAAGAAAGCCAAATAGAACAATTATAAGTTGAATGAGAATGAAGTAGAGGAGGTTGAGAAGCTGGTGAGGGAAGAAGGGGATTTAGTGGATATCATGTACCTCACCAGCGCGGAGGCAATAAAGGCTGCCAAGCTCTATGAGCCAAGCTCATTGAGCGAAGGTTTGTTTATTTTTGCTCTCTACAACTTACTTTAATTTGCAGTTTGTATGTTTTAACACTTGTTTTTGGTTTGTAATTGAGATGGACGGTTTTATAAATGCTGCTGGAGGGTTGGCTATCCCCAAGAAGCCAAGGAAGAAGTCGAAGACTTCAAATGTGGCAGACAAGGGGGCAGCAGAGAAAGAACGCCTGTCCAGCACTTCTGCTCGAGCACTGGAGATGCAGTAGAGGCCAGAGCCTACGGGGAGGAGCAGTGAGGAAATGAGCGAGGAGGTGGCACCACTCCAGAGGAAGAGGAAGGTGGCAGAGCCAGAAGTTAGGAGGGATGAGGTGGTGGAGTTTGTGCCTCAGCCTTCTCCCCCTGAAGTGGAACCTGAAGTCCGAGAGAGGGAGGAGGCCTAAGTGCAAGGACCTGGCAAAGGCAAGGAGCTCATCCCTCCACCTTCGTTCTAGAAAAGCTTATTCGATGCTAGCAACATCACTGGAGTGAAGCGGTTCTTGAATGCCACACTTTCGGAGGTGGATAGGAGGCAAGCGAGGGATGAGGCAATGAGCCAACTAGGGGCTCGCGTTGTGAGGCACTCCCTGGAGGTATGTAAAGAAATTGTAGTGTACTCACATTTTATTTTTGATTTTATGACTTCTGTGTTTGACTTCTGACTTATGCTTGCATTGCAGAGTGCAAGCTGGGTAAACGCTTTAGCGCACGAGTATGCGGAGAGTGTGAGGGATTGTGCCAGCTTGCAGAGGCAATGTGAGGAGCTGCAGAAGGAGAAGGAGGAGCTGCAAAAGAAGAACAAGGATATGCAGAGGAAGCTGGATGAGGTTGTGCTAACAGTGACCAAGCTCCAGAGCGATATGGACACCTTGAGCACAAAACTTGTCTTCGAAGAGCGTAAAAGGAAGATCTGTGAAGACAAGCTTGATGCTCAAGACAAGTATATCGAGAAGATGAACCAAGGGATGGTGGAGCTGAAAAAGAACGTGAATCTGCTGGTTCACAACGGGATGGAAGAACATGTTGGCAACTTCCTCAACTCCAGCACTTTTGAGAACATTGTCAACCTCTACCAGCTGTCGATGGTGATTCTAGCGTTCACTGACTGTAGAAAGAAGGTGAAGGCTCAGTATTCCGAAGTGGACGTCACGACGGTCACCTTTGGCAAACAAGAAGAAGGAGTGGAGGAAGATGGTGAAAGCCTCTCTGCTGACTTCCGGCCTCTGATCAAGTTGAGGTGGGAGCGTGATGCAGAAGGGCGCACGATCTTTCCTCCAGCCTTTGAGGCTGAGTTGGTGGCCGTAGAGGAAGGGGAAGAAGAGTAAGATGCTGGAGAGGAGAACCAGGCAGACCCGATTGAAGTCTAACCTCCCAAGGTGCATCCAGTTTCCTCTGATGAAGTGTAGTAGCTAGCTCCTTCGGAAGCAGAAGTGCCACCTCTACCTGCTGAGGATGAGCCACCTCCACCACCTCTTCCTATTGAGGAGCGACCTCCTTCCTCAGCAGATTAGCTTAGCATTTTATATTTTTTAGCTATATTTGTAAAGAACATTTTTGTAATTGGTATCTTATTAATTTATAAAATTTTTGAAGTTATTATTGGTGTTCATTTTTGGTTTCTGATTGTTGTTTTATTTTGAGTAAATTACTTCGGATAAAATAAAATAACTTTAATTAACACAAGGATCTGACCTCAGACACAATAAAATAAAAAACAAGGAAATTGACTTCAGATATACATGAGGTGGACCTCAAATATAGAAATGAGAAGAGATAAAGTAAATCACTTCAAAAGTAAAGTGTAATAAAATCGTAACCCAACAAATGAAGTGATTGAATAAGTCACAATGAATTAACTTCAGTAATAAGTGAAATCCACTTCCAACGTACAGAAGGGTAGAAAGAACTGAATCACTTCGAATGTGAAGTGAAATCCATTAATGAGGTAAATGAATTGAGCTCGTATATACATTGAGCAGAAAGAGAGAATAATAACGCTTATAAAAATAAGACAAAGTTCACTGGAAAGAAGTGTATTAGGGGTAAAATTTCTTCAAGTTATTGACATTCCAGACTCTAGGAACCCTTTTGCCTTCAGTGTCCCGTAGGATATAAGCACCTGAGTGCGGCACTTCGGCTACAGTGTAGGGGCCTTCCCAGTTAGGTGCTAACTTTCCAAATCGAGTTTCGAACCCCGTTAGACTAGCTTTCCTGAGAACAAGGTCTCCTACTTTAAATGTTCGGTGTCGAACTCATTTGTTGTAGAAGTTTGCTATTTTCGGCTTGTAAACTAGAGTTCAAAGTCGTGCTTCCTCTCTGACTTCGTCAAGCAGATCAAGGTTCTCTCGGAGCAGTTGTCCATTTCGTCCTTCATCGAAATGGGTGACCTTGAATCTTGGGACTCCTATTTCGATAGGAATGACTGCTTTGGTACCAAAGTCCAGGTGATAGGGTGTTTCACCTATTTTAGTTAATTATAATTTTAGAATGCGCTTTACATGTTATGCATATTTAATCTAAGGTAAAGCCGTAGAAGAAGAAGTAAAATAATATGAAAGCGAATCAAATAAACCAAGCCTTGTGGCAGTTCGGCTCGTGGTTCTGTATGCCCAAAGGACGTTGTTGAGCTCGTCTGCCCACCTGGCCTTGTGCAGCTCTAACCTTGGTTTTATCCCCTCGAGTATAACCTTGTTGACAGATTCCACCATTCCGTTAGATTCCGGGTGGTACACCGAGGTGAACTGCAATTTGATCCCATAACTAAAGCAGAAATATCTAAATGAGGAGCAGTTGAACTGAGTTCCATTATCAGCCATAATCTAATTCGGGATCCCATATTTGCAGATGATTGAGTTGAAAACAAAGTCTTCGACCTTCTTGGAGGTAAGATTGGATAATAGCCGAGCTTCAACCCATTTCGTAAAATAATCAACACCAACAATCAGATGGGTTACACCTCTTACCCCTTTCATAAATGGACCTAAAAGATCAAGCCCCCACTGAGCAAATGGCCAGGGTGCTACCAGATTAGTGAGTTCTTTTGCTGGCTGGTGGATTAGATGCGCAAAGAATTGACACTTCTGACACCTCTATACAATCTAGGTGGCATCCTTATACATGTTGGGCCAACAATAACCTTGTTTAAGGACTTTATGAGCCAAAGTTCGAGCACCTATGTGACTTTCGCAGACACCTTCATGCACCTCCCGAAGTGCGTATTCCGCTTCATAGGAATTCAAGCATCGTAGAAGAGGGAGTGAGAAAGATCTCTTATAGAGGACCCCATCAACAAGTGTATACCGAGATGATTTCTTCCTCAACTTCATTGCTTCCTGCTTGTCCTTAAGTATTATCTTGTCTTGTAAAAAGGAGATAATTGAGTTAGTCCAGCTCGGTGTGTCTGGGTCTGTGCTAATCTCCATCATCCGTGGCTTCATAAAGCTTGATTCATCTAAGACCTCCACAAAAACTGATCTAGAACTTAAAGAGCTATCAGAGGCAAACTTAGAGAGTGAATCTGCCTGTTCATTCTTAGTTCGGGGAATTTTGCTCAGACAGAATTTCTGAAATTTGCACTTCAGCTCAACCACTAAGGTTACATATTTCACCATCATAGGATCAACGACTTCGCAGATTGATTTGATTTGATTCACCACCAGCTGGGAGTCACTGTACACTTGGATTGCGCTGATTTTCAACTCCAATGCTAGTTGTAGACAAAGTAACTGAGCTTCATACTCAGCCATGTTGTTTGTTGCATTGAAGTTAAATTTCAGGGCATGTTCACTTCGGTCTCCATCTGGACCAATCAAGAAAGCGCCAGCTCCTGAACCCTTGCTACTAGATGCCTTATCAACATATAAGGTCCAGTTGTTGGGCTCTGAATTAGGGGTTGAATGACATGGAGTGCATTCTACAATAAAATCTGCCAGTGCTTGAGCTTGGATTGCAAATCTCTGCTGAAATGTTATCTCGAATTCCCCCAATTCTACTGCCCACTTAATTAATCTTCCGGAGCACTTCGGCTTCTACAGAATCTGTCGAAGAGGTTGGTCTGTAAAGACGATGATTGGGTGTGACTGGAAATATGGCCTCAGCTTCCTGGCTGAAGTGACAATTGCTAATGCTACTTTCTCAGCAATAGGATATCTAAATTTTGCACCATGCAGCACGCTGCTGATGTAATAGATTGGTTTCTGTTGCTTGGCTTCTTCTCTCACCAGAACCGAACTAATGACTTCATCTGAAATTCCCAAATATAAATAGAG